TAGCTCAGCGTCCAGGAGCGTCTACAGCAGGATCGAGAGTAATCTCCAGTCTCCAGACAGCCTCCAGTCTCCAGTCTCCAGTCTCCAGTCACCAGCTGATCCAGGGCTGAGCGTCACCACCGGGTTTCTCATCCCGCTGATCAGACTCAGAATCGGATAATGAACAGACCACTTCGTGGAGGTGCTTAGCCAGCATGTGCATCGTGCGATCTCGAGAGCTGCACATCCATCCACTCTGGGCTGGGATTGGATATCAGCGGCTAAGGAGAATTCGCCGCTGACTGGTAACGTATACACTTATATAATCCCGCGGGATAAGCATTCTTAAAACGAGTGTTACGAGAAGCAAGGTTCCATCGAGTAATGAGTTACTGCGAACCTCCATCCCTTGACACCGGCACCTTTGGACGGCATTACTCGTACATACATCAGCCTTCGCTATGACACACTTTTACCATTATGACCTTTATCTGAAAGCATTGCGATGCAGTCTTGGTTGCACAATGTCATCTTTCTTCTTAGGTATGCCTAACCAAGGCATACAACCTTGTTTTCACACATTTGAGTTATCACGCAATTTGCACTAAAGAAATTTAACTTTGTCCGTGCCAAGGGTGGGCGATTGTTTTTGCAAGACTTTGCAAAATAGGGTTTTCCGCAGGTTTTAGCCTCATGCTATGATCACGTCAAATAACGAGAAAAGACACATTTACCCTTGCTATACGCACGGACTGAACGATTTTGTTTTCAATATTGTAGATATTGATGGCGGCTAAGAATGGCAGGACAAATTATCGATCAACTTTCTCCCATGTCGTAGCACTGTGAGTTTTAAAACCGAGTTAATTTCTATGCGTGCACAATGCAAAAATAAAACATCAATGACCTATGGTGACCGGACATTTGGCCTGACTTATTTAAAACACTAACCAAAGTGCTACCATAGTGTAATAAATAACATTATTATATTAGTTATATTAATTATTTATTATATAGTTATATTATTACACTACAGTTATTTATTACACTATGGTGCTACTCTTTTCACGATTTTAATGACTTTCCATACGCCATTTAGTGCTTGTCGCTAATTGACCGGGAACGAGATAGAAGGGGCGTGAAAATTCCCTCCTGATTTTGGATGAGTCGAATCACTGCATCTACATGGCGTAGAGCGCCACGTTTTTAACTTTTAGTTAAAAACATTGAACTCAGTGTAATGAACCGCTGGGCTCATAATTTCCCTAGCTTTTCAATGCGGTCCCAAAAAGAGGAAAATATGTGAAATAGGCCAGGTGATGAAATTCGCTGGTTTCCGAGTAGCCTCTGCCCCTTACCTACATATGTGTCACTAAGAACCGATCGCTTGCCTCTCCACAGGCATATATTTAGACATATATGTACCGAACACTGCACTGAGAAAAACGCAATAAAGAACATGGGAGCAGGCATCCTTCACCTTTACTTCTCAGAGGCAAAGTTGAACAATCTTTCAATGCAGACCGCATACTAGGGAAATGCTCAAATTCTGTTGGGATTGCTTCGAAATAAGTGTTTTCAGTACAACGTCAAAGAAATAACTCCTGATTTGCGCCGTCATCACACACACCTCTTACAAAGAAAATTTGGTTTGAAAAACATCAAAATTCACTTGATTAGCGAACATACCTCCAATAGCTTCGGTACTGATGTTTTTGCCTATTCCACACGTTCCGAAGCACCGCAGCCTGTCATGCCTCTGCACTTACGTAGGCGTAGTCATATGCAAGCGCATAAGCTGCATAGTGCATGCACGTTTCAATGCCTATTGCCTATGCTTGCACTAACTTCAGAGGCATGGCACTATATAATACTGAACGAGGCCGGTGTAAATAAATTTTCAAGACCGAGGTCCTTACTGGATTTTTGAACGAGGCCGAAGGCCGAGTTCAAAAATCAGTAAGGACTGAGGTCTTGAAAATTTATCACCGGCCGAGTTTGGTATGTATTTTACTGTATGCCAACGATAAATTTATTTTCTGGACCGAAGCTCTTAGCCGACTTAGGAACGAGACCATCCCAAAATGTTGGCTTAAGTGCATTCTGGTAATACATTTTTGACCGTGGTCAATTTGCTTACACCAGTTATTACCACACCCCTCTGGCTAATGTATTTGAATAGGCCAGGCATACAGTAACTTTTCAAAAGGGTAATGTTTCAGACACTGTTGTGGTGTTGATACTTGATAAGCAATAAGCATGGATAAGTCGTACTCGTATAATATCATCAGTGATCAGTGATATGCTCGGTGATAACAATTATATAGGTACGACCCCCATACTGGGTAATCACTACCCAAGACATTTTAGGGCATGCAATGTAGGTATGTATAGTTTGTTTCTCAAGTTAATTAATAATCAGTGCTGCCCGCAAAAAAGAAACACACAAGCAGCCACCATCCTATATGATCACGAAATGTATCACAAACAACGCTCACGTGACCCGACCGGCTCAGCTGAGGTGCGTGACCTGTCACACTGGCAGCGAAGTAGCCTCGGGGTCGTCATTACATTATACTTTTGCGCTTTGTGTGACGGGACGACAGTAAAAAACCCTGCATCTGCTCTTCATAAAGCAATGCTGGCAGAACATTTCTGCACTCGCTCAAATGTCCTGACGAAGTATGCACTTTGTCATTTACACGCAGCTTTTAAACCTGAACATATTTGCATTTGGGATTAATCACTACGCTAAGCATGATATAGGGTTTAATTTTAGACTGGGCGGCACATTTCCTCAATACAAGCATGCAATAAATAATAAAGATAGGAATATCGCTCACTAGGCAATATGTGAAATGTCAGTCGCTGTAATATATTTTTTTTTTGTCATTATAATATCTTAGGTAAAATAATCACAACCTTGACCCATTTGAAAACCACCAGCCACAAAATTAAAACAGTGGAATTCTGCTTCAGAATAAGAAAATTTGCGTAAAAAGTTTATACTAATACCTACCTTTAAATGAATGATTGAACTCCTATTTATGAAACCAGAGCTCGGGAAAATCAGAGATGTTATTGCACAGATTATCATCCCTTCGATAAATACCTATACCTATATGTATGATATAGGTAATATCAAAGATCATTATCTTCGGCATCCGCAACTACCCGCCTACATCTGACGTTCAATCGCAGCTCTGACAGAGCTCTCAGTCATAAATGACGGCAGCATCCGGTGGCGGTAGACTGGAAGGAGCAAAACCTGTTGCTGGCGGATGGCTCTCCAGTCTGGCTTCGGCGAACGGTCCCGTCCTGTTAGAAAGCCGCTCCACATCACACGCAGAGGAAGCCGCTCCACATCACACGCAGAGCGATCAACAGTGGCAGCACCACTGTGGCACAAACAGACCCTGAGGGAGTGCGGCTGCCGCCGACCCCGCCGGCAGGCTCAGTGACCCTTGTAGGGACCGCGTGTGTGTGTCATTTAGCACGAACTCGCCTGTGAGGGCAGTGGCACTCTAAAGCTCTGTTCAGCAGAGCTGGCACGTCGCGCTGCAAGATCAATTCGAGTGGGATGCAGCTGCACATGACTTGTGCATGAGAATAGACCGTCGGCAGCTGCATCGGGGCAGCGCCGCTGATGATGCAATGAATAACATAACACCCAGCGGTAACAGTAACAGTGGCAACATAACACATAAGGTATCAGTGGTACACCTGCTGCACCAATAACATTACACTTTGCACTAGTGATAACATACATGCTGAAGCATAGTTACGTTCGTGACAACTGCATTTACGACATGAATGCTACTGCAAAGGTCGTATCACACCAGACATGAGCCGCACCAGTGTAGAGCCAGAGACAGCGACAAAGCTTAGCTTTGTAGCCTCCCACCTGCATCACCAATACTACCGCTGTAGCTACACCGGTACCGCCACCCTTATGCACCAGGAGTAGCACCACCCCGCCACACCAGTGTAGCACCGCGCCCGCAGCATCTGAATTCTGAACCAGCCGCCGTTCGGGCTTCCAGCAGCCCATCTCCGCTCTATGCCGAAGGCAATCTCATGGAGCCAACGACCGGTGGCGACAGACCTTACGAGAATTCGATAGTCCGATAGCTGGAACTCCGGCTATTTGGTGGGACAACCAGAGAGCTACGCCCGCGCCCCATGCCCCGAGCAGCGATTCCATCACCCTAAGTGTAATATACGAGCGCTGGCGAGCCTTTGGCGTCAAACGCGCTTATAACGCCAGCTTAGCGCCCCGGGGGCAATACACACACGGGCTGATGGGTCATGACATGATACTCGATACTCGAGAGCATGTGGAATCATTCCCTCATATGAAAGAATTGTGATCGTATTGCCCCTCCTGGAACTCTGGAAATGCCTTGTAAAAAACGTATTAAATATTGCATTTGAGCTTCTAGGATGCTTGATAGAATTGTGAATTATGAGCATATTTACCCAACGATGAAGTGTTAGAGCTTGACGAACTTTACGTGCGTGTAAACTGAAGAGCTCGTTGAAACTCTCGCAGTGCTCCGAGTTTCCGTTCCTCTCAAGTTTAAAAGCTCAATACGGGGTAAATCAGGATTAAATTGGATGTGCGCAATATTGTTGCACACCGTCACTGGGCAATGTTTGGAGAAGGACGAATGACCGAAATAAGCGCACGTGTTAAGTCCGAGCTCTATGAATATACCAGAATGACGTGCATGCCTGCAGGGCGCAGGCGGCAACAGAGCTGCTGGGGGCCATCAGCAGCAGGCACGCAATCAGTCCGGGCGCTACACTCATGCTTATGGCCTCAATTGAATCGAGCGAACCCATTTGCGTCGATAAGCCGGCTTGAACCATTAGAACGGCGCGTGACAGGTCATTACCGTTTGGCCGCGGGGCGCTGGCGGGACTGGTGACCGCCTGGCGCGCGCAGGGGGCGGCACGGGGCGCCCGCCGCCGCTGCCGCCGCCGCCGCTCCGGCAGTCGATAACCGGACGCTCCCCGGTCAACAGTCCGACAGTGGCGGCGCATCAGTCGATAGGGTTCGGCCTGGTCCGACGGGTAGAGGACTGAGGTCGTGGTAGAGGATTAAGGTTTAGTGGCGAAAAGAGCCAAGTAGAGAGGCTGGAAGACTGTGGACAAGCGTGGAACTGAGCTGAAGAGCACAGGACTTTGGAAAGAGGAGTTGCGAAAGGCTCACTGCCGAAGTTACGCCACTCCATCGAAGTTACGACAGAAGACGTCGAAGCAAAGAAAACTGAAAGCAAGGTGAGAAAGAAAAAAAAACGTCATTTTCGTATCAGAACTGAAATGAGCTAGCTGACTTATAAATTTTGAGCTACTGAGACAGCCAATCTCTTCGAGGGCGCCGGTCTTCACGCGTCTTGTAAGATCATCATTCAAATAGGAGAAAGGCCAAGTAAGCGGCACAGAGATTGATCGCACACCAGAGCCGTGCCAGAAGCGAACCCCTAAAAAGGCTCTGTTCTGTCGTTGACTCTGCTCGCCACCACGGCACACCACCGCGCCACCATGGGTCTGAACGAGGACGACCTGCGGCAGCTGTTCGCCGGCTACCAGTGCCGGGATGGCGACGTCGTGTTCGAGCGAACGCCCGAGTCGCTGGTTTGCTGGGACCGAAACGCCTCCGGGCAGAACGGGATCCTGATGCCGCGGCCGGCCAACCTGAACCACCAGTGGCCGCTGCAGTACGCGCTGCCGCTCTACGGCTACGTCATGCCGCTCCTGTTGGCCGTCACCATCGTGGCCAACACGCTAATCGTGGTGGTCATGTCGCGCCGACACATGCGCACGCCCACCAACCTGGTCCTGATGGCGATGGCAGTCTCCGACATGCTGACGCTGCTGCTGCCGGCGCCCTGGCTGCTCTACCTGTACACCTTTGGCAACTACCACAAGCCGCTCGACTCCATCTACGCGTGCTACATGCACGTCACGATGACGGACACGCTGCCGGCGCTGTTCCACACCAGCAGCATCTGGCTGACGCTGGCTCTGGCCGTGCAGCGCTACGTGTACGTCTGTCACGCGGCTGTGGCCCGTGTCTGGTGCACCGAGCGACGCGTGGTGCGCGCCATCGGCTGGATCTACGCACTGGCGCTGCTGCACCAGGCCAGCCGCTTCTTCGACAAGAGCTACGACCTGCTGGAGGTGATCCACATGGGCCGCGTCACGTCCAGCTGCTCCATCGGCCGGCCGCACTGGGTCACCGACGTCATCAACACCGGCCTCTACTACGGCGTCTACTTCGGCTTCCGCGTGCTCTTCATCCACCTGCTGCCCTGCATCAGCCTGGTGGTACTCAACATCCTGCTGTTCCGCACCCTGCAGGAGACGCGCGCCAAACGCGAGCGGCTGCTCAGCGGCGTCGGAGGGGCGAACAAGCGGCGCCGGGACTGTCAGCGGCGCCGCGACCCGCACTGCACCACCCTCATGCTGATCGTCGTGGTGACCGCCTTCCTGATCGTGGAGATCCCGATGGCCGTCTTCACGTGCCTGCACATCGTGGAGAACCTACTCGGCAACAGGGTGGAGCTGCTGGATTACGACAGGCGCCAGGCGCTGATCGTCATCATCAACTTCATCATCAGTCTGTCGTACCCCATCAACTTCGCCATCTACTGCGGCATGTCGCGCCAGTTCCGCGAGACGTTCCGCGACCTCTTCGTCACCGGCAAGGTGTCCCAGTTCTCCGCCGGTAGCTGCAAGTACTCGGGCATCAACGGAAAACGCAACGAGACCATGCTCTGAGGCCGGGCGACGAGGACGCTGAGGCAGGCAGCGGTCCCGCGCTCCCGGAGCCGGAGGACCGGCCGAGGCGTCATGCGCTCAGGAAACGTGACGTGGGCTGCCCACTTTACAGGTGACACTGTAAATATTGAGTATTTATAATAGCAATGTAGGATTCCATTGCCGCACGACTTTAAGGTACCTCAGAGTAGTGAGGCAGAATGTTGTCCACGGCTTCAAGATAAACCACCTCAGCTGTGGATATAAATTATAGATTTGCGTCTCCGGGCTAACTTGGAAGATCAGTAATTCAATGAAAATACGCTCAATAAATTCATACGTCAAGGCTAAAAAAAAATCAATCAAAAATGTCACACAGCACGATTAACCCGCGCCCCGTAGGGATACCGGCGGACCCTACCACCCGTAGGGGGGGGGGGCCGTATCGGCCCCCCCCTAAGATCTCGGAAAGTTACCGGCCGATTTTCAAAATTCAAACGGCGTTCGATAGCCCCACCCGGGAACTACCTTGTGACCAAATTTCATTGACCTAGGTCAAACCGATGACGTCACAGGTCAGGTCAAAGGTCAGATTTTCACCGTTCACAGGCAATTCAAGAAATGTGCTGTGAAAGCGAGTAAATTGGTAATTTATTGAAAACCATCGATGGTACATTGTTCGTCAAACACATACTTTGCTATCTGAGGTCACTGATACCAGGTCAGGTCACAGCGAGGTCAGGTCACCGGGGGTCACAATATGAATGTGTCGTGTGATACATGTTTTATGGTCCATTTTACATGACAAATGCGATTATGTGGGTTAGGCAGCCTTTGGGGCCAGCCTAGGTCACGTTTTTGTGAAGGTCAGGTCAAGGTCAGGTCAAATTAGGTCAAATTTCAAAGTTGATATTTTTGCATAAAATGGGTATTGATTCGATGCAGCTCGTCACGGGGAGTCTAATGGTGGTCTTCGTTTTGCTCTACGAGTTCTAGAATTGCCAAAAATTGAGTTTGAAAATTTGACGTCATCATTTTTGAACAGTTTTTTTCGCTATAACTTGGCCAAAAAACGAGGTATCGATCTGAAATTTGGTATGTAGATAGAAGACGGTAGGCACTATCACATATATTCCGGTTTTTTCGAAACTCAAAAAACTTTTTGGATTTTTTGGCGAATATATCCAAAAAAATGCTTTTTTGATTTTTGGGGGTCAAAACTCAAAAATTTCAAAAATTCGAGATAGCAGTTTTGTAGCCCTGTCAATTCTACACCTTTTATGTCTTGATCATTTTTCTGTATCTTCAAAGCTGTAGTCCTGACAGGTCTTCTCGCGAAGGTCTTTTTTCGGTCGAAAATGACAGAACATGACGTCACTCTGACGTCATTTGTGGCTAACCTATCATAGCCTCTGGAAAAATTTTTGGTCACAATGTGCAAAATTGATGCCCGGAGGGGTCCTGAAAGTTTGGTGGCGATATCTCCAGCCGTTTAGGAGATATCGACCGAAAAGGACAGGGGGGGCCGTTTCGGCCCCCCCCCTACGGGGCGCGGGTTAAATCAAAAACAGCTGACACCAATGCCGCAAATGAAATGGCCGTGGGACAGTGCTCACTGTGGAGCTCTGATGTATAATGCGCAGTAGCGACCACAAAGGCGAACCCTCTTTCTCTGATTGTGTTTGCCATGCAAACACTGCTATTGGATTGCCGTCATAAACATACATATGCCAGCCGCGGCAACGACAGCCAAAGTCGCCGCCCCTGTACGTAGATACGAGTATAGTATTCCGATTGGCTGATATAGAAGGCGTGTGTGTATCTAGGTGTGCCATGTCTTGTGTATTGCTTTTGTATATGTAAATTAGAGCTATATTGTATATGTAGCCTGAAATGTGTATTGTATATTATGGCTGTTTGCACTTTGTTGTATTCGTGGTACGCTGTATAGTGAGCCGTTAGCCGTACATGTGCAGACAGACGCTCGTCCAGGTATTTTGTTTTTGTGAGTGGAATGACGATGATCGGTAGGAGCAGGCACAAAGAATGTTCCAAGACTAGATTCCGAAGTATGACGTTTATTGGTGTAGGTATATTTACTTGTTGCTGATGCCACTAAAAACGTGGATGCGTTGTGATGCGCTGTTTTTATGGACGAAAAATTCATCGGGGCAGATGTTATGGAGGCCAGAAACGTCCATTCATACACTTATTAATTTTACCGATTAGTTTCCTTCAAACAACTTTTATGCTGCTGAGTGCTGAGCTATCTGTACATAAATTTCTGTTTTCATTTTCTCTAGGCTTTAAGACTGCTTTCACTTTAAGAAGTTATATTAATTTTTGTCTAAACAGAATGCTGTTGCATCGAGGCGTTAAATAAAAATGAGTGTATGTTCACTGTTGAACTGCAGTATCCTGGGATGAATTGGTAGCACCAGCAATGTGATTGGTTGTGCACTGGAGCTTCGCACATTTTTTTCAGTATTTGTCATTTTTCAAGCTGCTTGGTTTTTTTCTTTTAGAACAAATCATCACGATTACCTTCTTGTCGTGAACCAAAATGTACCGTAAATATGAAACTAAATAACGGGCATGTTTCCATCAATAGGAATGCCTAAAGAGTGACTTTTACCTAAATGGCACTCAAAGTATTTTTCCTATTGTGGTTATGTATTTATTATACATACATACCTATCGTACGATGTGCACATGCGTATAATATGATTGTTATCGATGTGCTTTTCTACAGCTGCTTATTGCACAAAGAGTCAGCACTAATTGGATGCTCTATCTATCTGCTGTGCAAATACCTGTTTGATCAAGGAAGGGTTGAATTGACATTAAAATTATATAGGCTAGTAAACAAAAATTACACTCGGAGTCTGCATCATTGATAATTATCGATCGCAAATGTTTTACTCACATTGGCTTTGCTTATGTATCTGAATGTGTTTTATTCACAGAAATATATAAACAATGGGATACCAATGATGTGTTATGAATGTTTCTTAGCCCTCGCCCCGTTGGGGGGGGGGGGGCATTTTGGCCCCCCTGTGGTTTTTCCTGAATAGCAAGAAAACGGCGGCGCGCAGCGCCGCCAAATTTTTAGTACCTTCCCGTGCATCAATTTGACACCTTTACACCAAATTTCAAGTCTTAGGTCACCTTACGTCAGGAGTTATTAAGGTCAAACTGAGGTCATGTTCGAGCAAAAATGAGCAAAAAACATGCAATATTGAAACGCTCACCAAATCTACAGTTATCAAGCAATTTCAAAGTTCTTTATATGGTCTAGTAGACAAAATGCGGCGCTACAAAACTGCTGTCTCGGATTTTCAAAATTTTGGGTTTTTAACCAAAAAAAATTCAAAAAATTGATTTTCTTTAGAAAAACTTTAAAAAATTCAAAATTTTTCCGAATTTCAAAAATCGGAATATATGTGACAGTCCCTGCGCTCTTCTATGTACATACCAAATTTCAGATCGATATCTCGTTTTTTTGGCCAAGTTATAGCGAAAAAACTTCAAAAATGATGACGTCAAATTTTTGAACTCAATTTTTAGCGATTCTAGACCACGTACGGCAAAACAAAGAACACCATTGAACTCCCCGTGACGAGCTGCATCTATTCGATACCCATTTTATGCAAAAATATTAATTTTGAAATTTGACCTAATTTGACCTGACCTTGACCTGACCTTGACCTGACCTTGACCAAAACGTGACCTAAGCTGGCCCCAAAGGCTGCCTGACCCACATAATCGCATTTGTCATGTAAAATGGGCCATAAAACATGTATCACACGACACTTTCATATTGTGACCCCCCAGTGACGTGACCTCTGTGACCTGACCTGGTATCAGTGACCTCAAATAGCAAAATATGTGTTTGAGGAACATTTCCCCATCGATGATTTTCAATGAAATGCATTTTACTCGATTTTACAACGCATTTCTCGAAATGCCTGTAAACGGTGAAAATTGGACCTTTGACCTGACCTGTGACGTCATCGGTTTGACCTGGGTCAATAAAATTGGGTCACAAGGTAGTTCCCTGATAGGGCTATCCAACACCGTTTGCCGCTTGTCGCTAGGTTGCGTGGTTCTCGAGATCTTAGGGGGGGGGGCAAAATGCCCCCCCCCCAACGGGGCGCGTTGCTCGGCAGAGCCCAACGGGGCGCGGGTTAATTTAACAGCACACTGGTGATTGGATATTATCGTTCCAGTTTCAGAGAGCCAGACCAGCCGGCGCACAGACCGCCTTCCTGCCCAAATCATGTCCAAAATCGCAACCCGCAGAGCGCTCTCTGCGGTTTTGCGACCGCGAGCTTTTAATATCGATATTACTCCTCAATTATCATTTGTCTTTGTTCGTCATCGCTTATATGCATGTGAAATGAGTCAATGACAAGCTTAGTCAGAAAATACATTCGTCCATTCATTGTGTAAAATGGACCAACGAGATGCGTCTGTGTGCTGTCACAGCTGGTAAACATTTTCATTAGCGAATTACGGGTAACGTCGTGAGGCCCAATTCAATTGGTCACAACATTTATCTTAGGCAACTCCGAGAAAATCAGGTTTTGGCTGCTAATTTGTTCAGCGATACGTGAGGCTGTGATGCGGTTTAGGAACCTGATCAAGCCTTCCTCGCTTTTTACAATGCATTAGCCGTTTTCACGACCGGCTATCCGGCGAGTGCACCTGATTTGACCAAATCTGCACATAATCTCCTTTACAGCAAATATCATTATTTTATGAATTTATTTCAGTGTTTTAATCGATGATGCTCTCTGTTAATACGACAAAAAAGGCATATAAGCAATTAGTGCAACCCTAGCTGATATCTACTAAGAGACACACTGAACCTGTTTTGACCAAATCTGCACCTGATCTGCATCAGATGTGCACCAAATGTTTACGAGATGGCCGTCGTGAAAACGGTTATTGCCAACTACTTAGAAAAAAAGGCTTTTCTCCTGCAGGGTCTCCTGCAGGGTGAGTGGATTTTTAATATTTTCTATACGAGTGCATAGAAAGAAGTTGACATATGATGATCCCATCATCCTTTGCCCCTCCCCTCCCCCTGGCAGTTTGTCCCTCCATCTGCAGCTAGGGTGCCAGTGAGCGAAGAACGGGCGTCCACCTCCTCTAAAAGCGAATCTATAACAGTACACGATATATGTACGTCGCACCACGAACATGAGATACGTTTAGGTGCATTGTCACGTCTCATCAAAGAAGTATTTTATCAGTAGGTAGAATAATGTCATCAGAAACTTTGAAACGAAATTGAATGAGTGAATGTATATGATTCGCATAGCACCGGAGCCATTTGGTGAGTTATTGCATTGGCTCGCTGCTTGCGGTCACATGACA